GGAGACATTGAAGGATATGGCAGCGAACCGGCAGCAGTGGCGCTCTTCTTGTCATTTCTTATCAGGTCCGAATGCTTTAAAAGGTATGTATGCACATTTAGATTGTGTACTCTGTGAGTTGACCATAGTGGTTCACTTTCTTCTCTCTCCCTCAAAATAGATCCAATCCCTGTCCACCTTAAATATTACCACTAACCTTGTATGCATTGCGAGTTTGACAGCGATCAGTGAAGCTCGCTTCACCGTGTTTCGCCGTACTATGATGATGATGATGATGAACTCTGTTGGTTAAATTCCATTTGGTTTTCATGAGACCTGTATCACGGCCTCCGATGAGTTACTCGACAGTGTTTCTAATGATAATTTACTCACTTTCATCTATGCCATAATGATACAGTTAATTTTCAACAGGTGACCTGCCATCGAACAAAGTCTGTCAGAAAAAAATTACAGAATTTAAACGGTTAAACAGCTGTTGGAATTTAAACACAGCACCAGATCAAAGTAATATTGTTCTATGGTAAAGGATTACCACTATCGCCCATTATGCAGCGCTTCTCGAGAGTAATAATCTAGGGTCAATGGGATGGATAGGAGGTAAAAGCCTCCTGTAGCAAAATTCTGGGATATAAATCAATAAGTGATTTCGATCGACCATCATTTAAGCTTTATCTTCGTGTCCAATCCATAGTTCTTCTGATGAAACACACCCAGGAAGCACAATGTTTGAGTTTTGCTTTTGTTAGAGAGCTCATTGGTAGTGAATATCAACCGACAGTCCACGATTCAGAATTCAAAATCTGTGCCGTCGCGCGTATTAAACCGGATCACACCAGGATCGTCAAGTTAAGCTTGTTCAGACTTCGTTTTCAAAGAATCGGTCAGTGATTAGCCAGTCAATTTGGAGGAACGAGACTTTGGTATATCTGAAGTAAATTTGTTTTTGTTCAAATAAATTTGCATGACTCTCTTACAAGGAATCATGAATTCAGAGCAAACTCCGGAAAAGTAAGATGTCTTATTGTTTTATTTCGTGAAACGATCCATTATTGAGGCTGTTGAGTGTTCGGGCAATTTGGACAATCAATTGCTAAACCTTACCAACTGTATTTGCCTCCACAACGGAGCAGTATGCGCTGCAGGTAACTGTGATCATTGGGGGGGGGGAATGAATGTGTGATTTAACTCGGTCATGCGGTCCTGTACGTTGTACCCGCAGGGTAAATGCGTCGTGTGTGTGTGTGTGTGTGTGTGTGTGGCGCAAGAAACCGTCCCTGTAAGGCCCAAAGCTAATACGAATTTTGGTCATTACAGTCACCTGTGTTAGACAAAACTCATATGTATATCTATACCGGGTGCATCACTAAGACCGAGACACACTGTTGCTGAGTGGAATTTTCAGCTGCGCGGTTCAGTTGCACTTTTATCCGACGAAACTGTCTCAAATGGCAATGGGTGTTCAGAACACCTCATAAGCCAGTCCACACGCATAAACCCTCCGGAGTCGTTTGTGTGTTTGTAATGGGAAAAGCTGGCTGGTTTGTGTTGACCTGTCACCGTTTGTGAAAAGCAAGTCACAGTTAATCTTTGCAAAATCGACTAAACGGCCGGTGACAAAACACATTTAGTCTGACTGAACGCTTCGAATCTGAGTTTTCGGGATACGCGAGAACAAATCAAACATCTTATTCCTCCTTTTATTCGATCCGGTTTGACGAAAACCTGCATGGCAAACGGGTCGTGTGTGTGGGATGATAAAATTTCGCTTTGAAAGGATCAGACGATTTAAATTTTTTCTGCTTCATTATTTTCGTTGCTGTGTTTTCAATCGTTCATTTCGGACAGTTTATAGTCACTGAAGGTATTGTACTGTACTAAACATAACAGGCACTGGAGCTCACCTTTCAATTAAAAAATCATACACGCCAACCGTCACAAAGTGCATAATCAACGGGGAGAAAAGTTTTACAGGCATGGGAATATTTCATAATCCAAGGTCAAGACGAAATTCACTTATTACTCTCTCTTTGTTTGTGAGTAAACGAGCAAGATATTGTATAGGTAGATTGTGGTAAGCGTCAATTCGAAAGGAAATTTGGCGGAATGGGGAGCGTGTGGAATGATGGAAACGACAACGTGTCCGCTCTGCATGCAACGGGTGGTCAAGATCTGTGAGATCCTCTGCGCAAATTTCACACAGGGTGTTATGTGATACTCTGAAAGCTTTACAGCTAACTCATCCACAGGAATAGAAGAGACGCGGCTAATGATAAGTAGACCGTGACGTAAGACTTTGTAATCCTGTTTGAGTGAGCTAGGAAAATAGTAAAGTAAGATGGGAAAACACTGATAAACAGAGGTAGAAATAACTGACTGGGATGCGCGAAATTGCCTGAGCTTTCGAATTGGATATTGATAATCATCGCAGTTTACCAATGCAGTTGTGCATGTGGGTTGACTAATGAAGATTGCTATCTATGGTAACACCATGATAATTGACAGAGTTCACCCTAGATGAACGAATGCTATTAATCACTATTTGGCCTGACGGATATGGAGATCGGGCAAAACGATACAAACACACAATACTTTTACTGGGGTTTAAGGTTAGCCAAGTTAAGGGTAACCGGGAGCTCAATTCCCGGCGAGTCGATGTCTAGCATATGTGTCGGGTGGCCGAAGTCGCCTTCACGGCTTAACGGTCAAAGGGACGCATGGACCCCTGTTCAGCCAGAAACTGTCAACGACGTATGAGCTCTCCCCTTCCCCTCAGAGGGCCACCGGCAACCATGCGGTACCTTCCTGCTGCCATTCAGATAGCACTTGGATCTGCAAAGGCTAGAGATGCCACCTAGACCCAAAGCCGGGTGACGGTGGGGACGTTTCCTGTACCTAACTCCCAAGAAATTTCATGGATATTCACTTTATATTCATGAAACGGACTTATCTTCTCCCAGGAGCCAGCCGCCGTAAAGTAAAGTAAGTAAGTTCGAGG